TACTACCTATAATGTAAAGATATCGAATAGTTGAATAAATCACTTGATTATAAAACGGTATATGTACAGACGTATAGTCTAAATCTTAATTGTTTATCCAATAAAAAACCACGTAGTTAAACTTTAACTGCAGAGTCAAACTTGAGCGTCCGAAGCATATAGTTCTTGTTTGGAGTCGGCACCTGAACACCATTACTAAAACTTGATTTTGAAGTCATTATATTCATCGAGATACCAAGTTGATGCTAGTTTCCAATAACCCAAAACATCCAAATTTGGAAAAGACTTCCTTTTTGGCCACGATTTATCCAAATAGACATACTAACGCATAGCTTAATCATGCATTGTTAAGATAAACTTTTTTCTTCCTAATTTCATATAATTATTGGATATCTCAAAGAAAAAAAAAGGTTAATAAAAGGTACACTAACTTTTTAGTAATTCTAAAGATGCTATAGTAGACTAATTAAGAGATTGTTAACCCTATACAATATTTTATGTAAAATATAAATTTTCCAATATATACATAATTGAGATTCAATTTATTGTATAATTTAGGAAATCACTTATAGAATAATTCATTCAACTTATTAATGTACTATATGAGTAAAAATTTAAGCACATACCAAAAAGAACTACGCGGAAACACATAAATTGACGAAGAAAATATAAAATTTAATGTGTTTGACTTACGACTTTTTTTTTGGTTAGTAAATAAATAATTAAGTCATTCAAAAGTGTAAAAATTATATAAAGCTTTTTATTGAGCAAATTAAACATTGTTCTCTATGATAGTAAAGACCTACTTTACAAAAAAAATTGAAAACGCGATAACCAAATGTTCTCATTGTGGAATGAGCAATAAGGAGCTGACCGTGATGAACTTTAGATAATCTTTTGTGTCTTCTACTAACTTTATAAATAGAGGAAGATATTAATAAGAATAAGAACAAAGAGATCTAGACTTAATTAATCCTCCCCTTGTTCTAATACCAACAAAAAATATCAAGAAATGGATCGCGGAAAGAGAGTGATGCACCCTGAAGCCGATTTCGTTCTAAACAAGGAACCATGGGAAAATGAAGAAGAGTGTGAGAAGACAAAGAAGAAGGCTAGGATTTGCAAACTTGAAGCCGAACTCGATCATGTACTGGTAACAACTAAAACAGTGAAACAGTGTAATGAGGTAATTGTTTTCGTCTAAATATAGTTTCATATATTTTTGTTCTCCACAAATCTAAAAATGCCAAATTTGATGATTCATTTTCCTAAAATTACAACAACAAAAACTTTAAATACTACTAGAAATGGTTTATAATAGTTTAGGAAGAATGTTAGGGGTTCTGCAGT